TGCTCGAGGACACTTCAGTAAAGAGTGTACCACATTGTCTTCCTCTACCCCAGATGCTACACTCCCTTGATATATCTTCAATTCGAATATAGAGATCGGATTTTGTAGGTAGTGCCTCATGACACATTCTTCTGCATGACACACCCTCCAGAAGAATGTTTTAATTCGAGGTAGAACCACTTTTCCCCATATCAAATTCAAGATTTGTCTCCAACATTCTGTCATCCGAGCATCTCTCCTCTTCACCTCCTTGGCAAGAAATCAGCCTAAATGCAGAGCGGACAGAATATATGTCATTCTTCTCATTATCCCAGCATAAAACATCAGCAAGTTTCCTCTTGCTCAAAGGGATAGCTAACACACGATCCCTCTCAAAAGGAAGAAGAACCTTATTTATTTTTTCAACATCCCAACACATACTATTTTCTGAAATAAGGTCAATTACCATGAGGTTCTCACAGCCTGTGGGGCAAGGAGATATAATTTTTCGGGTTTGAGTGTTTGGTATCCATCTGTCAGTCCATATGCGAACCCGCTGACCACGCCCAATTCTCCATCGTACTCCTCTGTCAAGCACCCATTTTGCCTCATTAATCCCTCTCCAAGTGTAACTTGGGTTGTAACCTAAGTTTGCATTCAAAAAGTCACAGTGTGGGAAATAACATGCCTTGAGGACACGAAATAGGAGAGAGTCCGGATTGGTAGCCAAATGCCATGCTTGCTTGCCAAGAAGAGCCCAATTAAACATTTTCATATCCCGAAAACCCAAGCCACCCTCCGCCTTTAGCTTACACAATTTCTTTCAACCGAGCCAATGAATCTTCCTTTCACCCTTCTTCTGCCCCTACCAAAATTGGGAAATGAGAGAACGGATTTCATCACAAAAAGAGGACGGAAGTTTAAATACACTCATCACGTAGGTAGGAATCGATTGGGCCACCACCTTTATCAAAATTTCCCTACCCGCTTTTAAAAGACACATCCCCTTCCAACCTTGTAATTTCTTCCACAATTTCTCCTTAATTCCCTTAATAATGCATTTCTTGGATCTTCCCACCACCGTCGGAAGGCCCAAGTATTTTTCATTTATATCTAGCACTTTCACCCCCAAAGTTGAGGCAATATCATGTCTTCTCCCATTATCAACACCCTTGCTAAAAGCCACCGTTGTTTTTCCAAGGTTTACCATTTGTCCCGAAGCCCACTCATAGAGATGAAAAATATCTTTAATTGCATTTGCTTCCTCCACCGTGGCTTTGCCAAAAATTACATAATCATCCACAAACAACAAATGTCAGATAGGGGGAGCCAAACTAGCAATCTGAAGACCATGTAATACACCATTCTCCATAGACTTGCAAAGTAACCCCGATAGAGCCTTGGTAACCAAAATAAAGAGATACGGAGAAATTGGGTCCCCTTGTTGAAGGCCACGATTCAGATCAAATTCGTCACTAGGCACCCCATTCACCAACGCTGAAAACTTCACCGACCGAACACACTCCATCACCCTATTTATCCACTTACCATCAAAGTTCATCTTAACCAACACTGCTTCTAAAAAGTCCCATTCAACCCTGTCATAAGCCTTCGCCATATCTAGTTTGAGAGCAATATTACCTTTCGAGCCTTCAAACACTTCATATGATGAAACATTTTAAAGGCGATTAGCTCATTATCAGTAATAAGTCTCCCCGGAGTAAAAGCACTTTGATTTGCAGAGATAATATCATTAAGGAACAATTTTAATCTATTAGCTAACACTTTCGACACTAGCTTATAGATTACATTACAAAGACTTATAGGGCAAAAATCCAACATTTTATTGGCATTTTTAATTTTTGGGATAAAGACTATAAAAGTCTTATTTAAATAAGAGGTTATAGGGTCACCTGGAGAATACTAAGAACAAGAGAGAAAATATAAGGACCAACAATATGCCAATAATTCTGAAAGAAAACGGGGCACATACCGTCCAGTCCTGGGGCCTTAATAGGGTGCATTTGACTTAGAGCCAATCGCACCTCATCCTCTCTATAATCGGCAATCAGGATATCGTTCATATGATTTGTGAAACGACCCTCAATACCCACCAACGCCTCCCTCATAGACTCCACCCCAGTTGAGGAAAACAACCCAGAGAAGTACTCAATCTTTAGCCACCCGACTTACTGCCACTAACCCCTCATGTTTCTGCCCATTATCATCCAGAATATGGGAAATATGATTTTTGTTCCTCCTTCCGAGGCACGTCTATGGAAAAACGTGGTGATTCGGTCTCCAGCCTCCAACCATAAAACCCAGGATCTTTGGCGCCAAAAGACTTCTTCTTACCGTACTAGCCCCTCTATGTCACTTACTAATTGACATCTTCGTTTGAGCTGAGCATTAGAAAGCTACCCTTTAGTTAATTTTTTTTCCTCTTTTTTCTCAATTCTTAATTTAAACACTACCCTAGTCTTCTTGTTCCCCCAACTCCTTAAACTTTCAGCACACCTCTTCAACTTGATCTACTCCTAATCCTAGCAGCCATGTGTCATCTATCACCTCCTCACAACCCTCCTCACCCACTCACATTTGCTCAAAACAAAAGAGTTTCTCACGATGCTCCTTCCCTGTCTTCTCTTGTTCAAGAAGTAGCTTGATGGGTGCATGATCCGACCACTCACGATCAAGGTGAACTATTTTTGCATTCGGGAACTTTACAAACCAAACATCAGTTGCCAACGCACGATCGATTCTACATTGCACATTTTCTCCCTCTTCTCTATCATTATCGTAAGTGAAAGCATAACCCTCAAACTTTACTTCACAAAAACCACAGAGATCTGCTTCCCTAAAATTCGACATTTGCCACCCCGCTCTATCCGCACCCCCACTCTTATCGGCATCCCCCAAAATTTCATTAAAGTCACCAATACAAACCCAAGCACCCTCCACCTAAGTCGCAAGCTTTGTAAGAAGGCTCCACAAAAGGTGTCTATTATGAACTTCCGGCCATCCATAAAAGCCCGTAATTCTCCATCTAGCCTCACCAAGCCCCTCATCAACCCAAAAATCCATGTGGTGTATAGACATGGCCTAGACCGAAGTGAAAGGGTTATACCCTTGTGCCAAAGCATAGCAAGACCCCCTGATCTTCCCACACTATCCACGACTAAACCATCATAGCCCCCTAATTTCTCTCTAACTCAGCCAAACTCCACACTACTCAATTTCGTCTCCGATAAAATATCACAGACGGGGCCTCTCTTCGGATCAAGTAGAAACTGCAGAGGGGTTGCCCAACCCTCTATAGTTAAGGCTTAGCACACTCATTGGGGTTGGTGGGGTTGGTTCGAACCAACCTCCGCTGGAGCAACCACGCTATTAATTAAGATACTCTTTTTCACCCTACTTTCTCCCTCTACTTCCATTTCCCTGTCATTCTCTCTGTTCCCCTTCGGACCAGCAATCACCTCCGCTACTCTATTCCCTACTTCAACAACTTTCCTTGGAAATTTCTTCCCATAACAACATCTCCCCCATCCCATTGCTCCTTTCTCATATTCTCCCTCTCAAATAAGTTGCTGTTAACTGTTAATTTTCTGCTCACTTCACCTTCCTCGCCAAGGCTGCATACTAAGGTTTTTAGAAGAATTTTGTCATTGTTTGATATAAGGTCTGTTTTTTATTTTATAATCCTCCCCTCACGCCCTTCAGCAACATTGCTAGGCTTTAGGGTAAACACAAGAGCCCTAGATTTTACACGATATTTCGACACCTTCTTGCTCCTTCAATTTTGCACGCCCTTTTCTAGGTGAAGCGCGCAATTCAACCACAACCCCCAAGGCTTCTCCTCCACCTCCACATCCTCATCGACATTAGTACAATCCTTCTAAGTATACCCCAATACGCCACACATGAAGCAAAAATTAGACAATCGCTCATATTTAAATTGAATTGTAGTGATCACTCCCCTCATGTTTCGTATCTTTTGGATTCTCCGAAGTGGCTTTGTCGTATCAACCACAAGTCTCACACGTCTTGACTTATCCCACCTTAACTCATCATCCTCAACCTCAACTTTACATCCTCATTCGATCGGTATCTAATGGAAGATTATAAAGTCTAATCCAAAAGGGGCAGAATTTGAGATCAATATTCTCTGGTTGTTCATCTCCTTGAATGTCTTTAAGCAACAGTAACTGATAATCAAAATTCCAAGATGGAAGAATTGGATGACAAAAAGATTATTTTCAATTTTGCAAAACAAAATTCCTTTGTTTAGGGCCCAAATCTGCTTCATAGTGTTTTGTAGGGCATCGAAATTAAACGATCTGGCCGTCAATAACTTTCCGACCAGGGAGAGCGCTAGCTTCTGTTCATTTGATTCATCAATATTCTCCCCAAGGTCTGCCTCCTCTTCCTCCTCGTGATGTTCAATTTGGACCACTGTTCCACAATATCGTCAGCCATTATAGAATTAAACCACGAGCACTCTTACAACCTCGCAAGGGAGGCAAGAGTGAAAAAACTCAGACCTCAGAGCGAAGGAAGAACCCCTAGACTTTAAGCGAGACTCCGATAATAATTATTAATTCTATTTTATTATAGTTAGTGATTAGTGAGATACTCTATTATTATTAATATACCTAATGAATAGTGTAAATAAATTAATTTGAGAGATTCCTCAAAAAAAAATAAAAAATTGAGAGAAATAATTTAAAAAATAATGGAGTAAAGTGCGTTAAAAACACATTCAAAAAATTTACTCAACAATAGTGGTTTGGTTGACAATCAACAGATATTAGTAATTAAAAACAACTGCGAGGTCATTTTTCCGAGATCAAAATATATCAATCAATGAATGCTCAATTTTTGGGAGAGAATTTTACTCTATCTTGGTTAATAACTCCCAAAGTTTAGTAGTCATTGAGTTTTTTGCAAACCGTGGCTTAGCCTGGAACAAATGGCTATGTAGCAGGAAATAATGACAATAAAATCGAAGTTTCTGCGTATTAGTCCTGTCAATTATATGCTCCTTTGCTCACTATCTTCTGCAATTTAGTTCTGGACATGTAACAACGTGACTCCTCGACAATACACTGAATCCCCTAACCAGCTGATCGCAACGATATGTAGCAGTAAAACCAATCTTACATACACAGGTTTTTGTGCAAGCAAACATCATCGACGAAATCAGGATTTCTCGATATTCTAACCATCTACGTGAAAATAATGCGAACAATGGTTCTGTACAAGATAGCTGGAAGTAAAACAGATCAGACAGAGATATAATGTTAAGGATGAAGAAAATATTTTCACCCATTGGATTCTTCAAATATCAACAGTATACTCCGTCTTGCCTCCATCTTCTCTTCATTCTTTTTTCATGGGTTTGACCTACACCTTGCACAGATACCAGAATGTTTACAGAAGAATGAGTAACACTGTATGACAGTTGCAAAAGAGCAGCAGAAAATGCAGTCATTAATCTATTTACGACAACAGAACTCAACTATGATTGAACCGAGATGAACTATCAAGAGATACAGTTAAAACAATAATATTTTGACCATATATTTGTAGCATGTCTTGATTAACCTATGTTACTGGGTCTTGGGCACTCATGTCTGACACACCCGGGTACCTGCACGTATCTGACATCACCTCTAGCCTTAGAAAACCTATAGTGTATCTGTTTTAAATAAACTTAAAATACTAAGGAAAAAGTCTTGAACGGTATACGAATCTGAACATAGATGTTTTGTCTTATGAAACCACAATCTATTTGCTTTGTTGTCACTGAATCAGAAATTCGATTTGATATTGTAACCATGATGTACTCTGTCTGCAATTAAGAATTTAAAATAAATCTGTAAATGCTCAGGACTTTTGCTTATCAGTAAGATTATTCATTATTGGATGCCACGATTGCCAGAAGCTACTATACACTACTCTGGAATAGAATAAATAACTTGATGTAAACTAGCTATATCTGTTTCAAAAACTATTTCCTCATTCAGGATTTCATTTATTTTATGCAGTTTCACCTCTTCTATTATGACTATCCTGCACAGTACTAAGAGGTCTATTCTAGCATTCCATTTGGTTATGAGTGTTCATCAAGGGTGTAGTGTGTATTTGTGTTTGGCACGGATGAAACACACCAAGCAAAAATAGTAATTATTCTTCATTATATGCTTGTCATAAAAATCTACTATTTTATACAAAGTATAACTTTCTCAGTATCATGCTTTTTACAAAGAATTTTTTGTACATCACCACATCCCTCAAAAGTAAGGCTTATTTTGGATGAAGGAAACATTTTTCTGGTCACTAACAAGAAAATGTTATTTTCTAAAGAGTAGAGACAGCCTAAATAAAGCACAAAAAGGACAAACATGAAGAGAATTTTTTATGAAAGATGTAAACAAGAATTAACTAATATGATTCACACTTCGACAAGGTAGTTGCTTAGTGAAATGAATAATGCAGCCAGTTTATTTGACCAATACAATAAGAACAGGACCAAAATAGTGCAACCAATACAAAAAGAACAGGACGAAGGGATTCAATTTAACTACCAAGGCTAACACATGACCCAACTCGACATCAAGATAAAAGGGAAAAGGCTTGTAGAAAATACAATATACAACAAAGTAATGTACATATTCATATCAAGTAAGACCTTACCATATATCCTTCTTGAGGAAGACTCTTGCTGTATATGGGAAATTCAAAGAGGAAAATCTTCTTGAACCACAAAGGCAAATTTCCATATACTGCTGGTGGCAAAGGGACAAGTGGGCTGAAAAAACAGCATCCCAACTAGTTAGTAATCACTGTTTCTTATGTTTCAACTTGTATTCAGTCACGAATCCAACAAAGGTCGCTCGCTATAATGCTGTTTTCAGCTTGATTTCTAGGTAAGAAAAGTCAACTTTGCTTTTATTTATTTTTCAAGATTTACAGTGTTTAGCTACAAAATTATAGTAAAGTAAATCTTCTAGTAATTTCTTATGACAGGTGAAGAAGGAATTCCAATCTCCACAAGGCCTCTAGTTTAGAGTCCAAACAGTTATTTTTTTAAAAAAAAAAAATTTACTACATTATACATTTAAAAATAAAAAATATAAATAAAAAAATCTATATGCAAAATTTGAACGGGTCATCTCAAGTAAATGTATGTACAATGCAGTTTTATATATAACAATTCATATTCCTTTTCCTTCAAGGCTTCAATTGTATTAATTACAATTCATATCTGCATCTCCTAATATTCAAAGGACAGGGACACAAACTTCATCACAATTTCCTTAATTTATAACCTTACTCCAAACAGCTTGTTATGGTAATGATGCTCTAGGACATGAACTAAAATCCGCCTGGGAAAAAAGCATGACTAAATGGGTCTGCTTAAATAAAAAAAATTCAAAAATCCATTCGAAGAAGTCAGAACTATGGAAGCGATCTCAGTGGTACCATTTGACGAAAATGCAATGTAACTAGATTGTCCAAGCCTATTTATCAGTGCCTGGAGAAGATGCTGAAGATGAAAATACTGACCTAGTAACTTTCTTGTATTGTCTGTATTCTTCCACACTGCCAAATTTCTTATCTGCTGAAGCCTGTTGGACACAGGTAGACAATTTAATAAGTGGTTTTACTAAAACAATACTATGAATAACAAGTGACAACAATGCTTAAACCTTACCTCAAGCAATGGTAATCCACTGACAAAAAGTAGCAGCAGCGTAAGGAATACTGGCCCAATGATAACAAGCCACTCAGCACCTACTAGAACTGGTATTGAGCTGATAAAAATTCCCCACCAAAGAAATATCTGCCAGATTGAAGTAGATTTGTTGAAAGATAAATACATAAGCAGAGCAACATACTCAGCTCAAAGCAATAGCTAGAAAAATATTTATTCAGGGAGAAAAGTAAGAAGAACATAAATGAAATTGGTTAATCGAGCAAAATGTACAGCTAACAAATATGTCCTCTATATAACCACAAGAATATTCCAAATATACGAGTACTTAGTACATATTATGAGGTTCAACAGCTGTTGGTACCTTTGAATTTGATAACAGGTGATGTTCCTTATAATTTTTTCTATATATTAACACATTTAAGATGGTGCAGCTGAATGAATTGATCACAGAATATTTTTAAGGGGTAAAGGAGTGAGCTGTTTGATTATGCAACTGATGGAGCTCACAGGACATGCAGTATCCTAGACACATATTTGCTTATACTCACTAGCAACTCTGTGTCACTGTGTGGTGATAAATACTGATTTAAATGTAGAGGACCGTCAAGCTTATTATGTTCAAATAATCATAACAGGATTTGCAGCCACAAGCAACTCTTCTACGTAATTCAAACAGGTCAAAAAGAGAGGGGGGGGGTGGTCTCATAATGCTTCCAGTTTGAAGGATCAAATGATCAATATTGCATATGCTTTGATTAGTCCTTTGTACATTATAAGCAATTCTAACCTCTCCAAAGTAGTTTGGATGACGAGAATACTTCCAAACTCCAACATTGCACCATTTCCCTCTATTACTTGGTGAGTTTTTGAATGAAAGTTTCTGCTGATCAGCTGTAGCTTCAATAGAAAAACCTATGGACCACATAATCCACCCAATTATATCCACTGCTCTAATGGATGGATCCTTGTCACTTGCATTGACAATTGTTACAGGTAAGCTCACAGTCCATACCCACACAGCCTGTAATCATTTGATAACAGATTTATTATAAACTAAGGAATGTCCCAATGGTAAAAAATCACAAATAAATTAAATCATCGCAACAACCTGAAAGATCCAAAATACTGCCAGTTTTCCCAAATTTGCACGCATTTCATCAAATCGATGGTCCTCCCCCCACTGCAATATCCTGATAAGAAGCTCCAGTAAGTCAAATGTAAGAACCATATCCATTGTTCTATAATCTACTGAACTTGATTTCATTTAGGAGGGAGCACTGGACATAGATACAGTGCTATTGTCAAATGCAAGCGAAACTTGCTTGGGTCAGGTTGTTCTAACATAGGAAAGACACTGAAAACAAAAGCTACAAAATGCACAAATAGGCACAGAAAACCAGGCCTGAACCAAGGGGCACAAGTTCAAGCATACAACCAAATGCATACTATACCGAATACGAACTAAGATCAAAGCATCAGTTCATACCTCATCAAAAGAAATAACCCCAGACGTAGACCCCATATGACCACGAGCAAAGTCAGAATTACCTGGATAACAGATGAATCTGCATATCAGAAATATCACAAACTAATAAATTATTTTGACAGGCTCTGACAGGGTTTAATAAAACACTAAACACCCTATGAGGGGAATTGGTTCCCAGCTTCAATTGTCAGTTTATGGAATCATGGGCCTTGTCATTCTCTTCTTGGGATCCAAGATTAAACAAAAACTTACAGTCATCATAGACCTAATAAGACAATACACTTTTGAATAAGTATCTCCCGGAGCTCTTTGGGTTCTTTATTATTTAGAGTAGCCTTTTGCAAAGTAAGGTGCTTGGTTCCACCCCCATGTTGGAAGCGAGATTGTGATGCATGTTACGGCATCTCAGATAAGGCATCCGTAACCTAGTAAATTCAGTGTACATTTATAAAACTGTTGGCAGTAGATCATACAAGAGCTTTGATTTGATTCTGATTAGCAACAGATTTGAGCAAAAAATTATATATTTGTGCAATAAGAACAAACAGCATAAACACCAATAACCCACATTTTTATACCACTGACATATGGTTAAAAAGACAGCTTTTTACCTTTCTATGAGAATCAAAGTCAAAAGACCAGAATTGTGAGAGACAGAAAGAACGATAAAGAAAGCACCATATGAAGAAGATTAAATGGACATTCATATGAGCTGCATAGTCAGAGCAACATTTGAATTATGGAATAGTAACAAGTACCTGTCTAAAATTCCATGAGGCTTTGATGACTATAGTCAATACAGCAAGTATGATAAAATTTGTGCTCCCTGAGACAAGCATTAAAATCAGTTACATGGAAGGCAACGACGAATGAATGATATAGAGCCTTCTAACTTCTAAGTAAGTTTTCTAGAAAAGAAAAAAAATTAAGAACTCCTCACAATTAAAAAAGGGATGATCATAATATTATTAATGGGTGTTCTGCTACAACTTCTTTTTCCAAAATATAATGTTTGAGCAATTTTAAATGACATCAAAAGAATATTATAATGGCTAGTTCCAAAGTCTTGTTGAAATGGTTACTCACATTGAAGATGGAAGCAACATTTACCATCAACATACACCGGTTGCCTAGTTTTCTCATTCGCACGAATGAGCAAAACAGTTTCAAATTGGTTATGCTCATTTGTACAAATGAGCAAGTTCTGCTCTCATTACCCCATCACATGACAAATTTGCTCATTTTGTGCAAGTAAGACAAAGTTAAATTTAACGAGCTAAGAAAATTTGCTCATTTGTTCAAATGTTGTGCAAATGAGCATTTATTATAATCGATTGTTCATTGCAGAGTACAACCGGTTGTATAATAAAAATCGTGATCACCTTATGTTTAAACTGGTTCTAGTTTGTTAGTTTGTGATTGTTTCTCCTTAAATTCATGATAGTTAATTGTTAATTTGTAGACTATAAGAGTACTATTGTAATTAGTAGTATAATGAAGCAGAAATTCTTGAAAACAATCCAAACATATCAGGTAGTAAATTGTAATAAACACTTTCACAATGTAGCAATAACAAAAACTCGCTTGCTCTTTTCTTCCCTAATTCTAAGGTTCCACAAATATAACTCAACCAACAATTGACATTTGAAATTAATTCATTAAAAATCAATAGAATTACAGAATTATGGGCATCAAAAAGAGTACCAGCAAAGTCGGTGACTTTATCAAACTTGAGAAGCGCTGTAACAACAAAGAATACGAATTGATAACACACCTGCAGAAACAATACAAGAAATACCCAGAAAAAAATAATAAAAGGGGTTAGTTTCTGAAGGATAATCAGAGCAACATAATAGGGAACAAATTAATGTAAGAGGATTACAGTGATAATGGCAGTGATAGCTAGGAAATGGGAGTCAAGAACTTTAGCCATGTCTGAGTGAAAATGTAAGAAATTGCTGGGTTTAATTTGCTGGTATTATTGTTAATGGTTTTTATGGAGAATCGAAGATGATGACTATTCTATGGAGTGGAATATGTTTTATGTGGACTATATTTGAACAACCACATTTTGTTTAGTATTATTCTTCCCTTCATCTAGGTACAACAAAGCATTTGTTTACACCTCATGTTACACATCAATGTTATTTACCCATACATTTTAACTTTTCTGGTTTTCAATGCACATTTTTTTTAATCATGAAAACATACAATTACTCCCTCCGTTCCTAAAAAACGATATTTTTGGACATTTTTTATGGGTATTAAGAAACTTAAATGGGAAGTACAAGTGTATAGGGAAGCTAATAAAAATACATTGACAAGGTAAATTTACATAGGATTTGTAAAAAAGTAGAGAGAGAAAGTAATAAAAATACATGGAAAAAGCAAAATTTACATGGGAAGCTAATTTTGCACAAATATTATTGCAAATTGGAGGGTATTTTAATGCAAATGGGATGAACATTTTGGGACTAAAATTTGGCCAAAAAGGTCGTTCTTTTAGGGACGGAGGGAGTATATGTTAGTAAAAAAAAAAAATTAAGTTGATACAAAAGTAGTTTAAAAATAAATTTCAAGCTTTAGTCAAATTAATATATCAAATCAGACTAGAACAAATCTTTCTTAAAATTGAATCAAATCACCTTATTATTGGTGAAGAAAAATAAGTCCTCAATAATATAATTTATACACTTTTTAATGCACAACATTGATTGTTATTTTTTTTTAGGGAGTTTAATTGTTAATATCTCTAATTACTACTATAAAAGAATGAAAGATTGGCGATTTTCTTTAAGGTATACTTTAGGTTTGGGACGAAAAAATCTCATACTATGTAAATGACAATATATATGTGGAACAATTGTAAATTACTCCATAATGATTAAAACAATTTCTACATTAATCTTACAAGAGAAGAACCTTTTTTTCTTGTGATGGATACAAGAGAAGAAATTAAGGGAGGTAAAAGTTCAAAATTTTATTTCAAATGTTCATTATGTGAATGTTATTTTTGGATTTTCGTTCATTTAAACTTATGTTCAAAAACTAAACTAGCAATATTCGTTGTTCACAAAATATATTTAATTATGTTTGTTTAAAAAAAAAAAAAAGAAGAAGAAGAAGAAAACTTAGTGTTCATTTAAAAATTTGAGAAATATACTTCTTTTAGTTTACTAGCTAATTTTGTATAAGATCATTTAAAATAGTTTAATATACGTGCCTTTTAACATTTTTTCATTAAAGATGGAGGTGTTTTTTAAACCATGCTTCGTTCATTACAAAAATGTGTTGTCCTCATCAAAATTTGCTTATTTAGTGCAAATTGTTTTTGTTTTATTTTACTTTGTACAGGATATTAAAATCACTTTAATCGCTCTTATATAGTGTAAATTGTTTTTATTTTATTTTACTTTGTACAGGATATTAGGATCACTTTAAATAACTTCATGTTCATTTTCAACCGATTTTTGTTACCATTCAAGTTTTCCAACAACCAACAAGTAAAATAAAAGAACACACATAAGACATTTTCGTTTCATACATTCATACAGTATCGATTTGTGTTATTGTGTAACTACTCGGTGTAAGAGTGTAAGCTCTGCTATTCGCAGTTGACTAGTGAGTGACTACTGCTATCGAAAATCCCTCGATTTGTTTTATTAATTTATTGTTTGGTCGGAATTAGAAGAATATTCATATACAGCACTACTGTTATTGGATTCGTCATACTCGTACATTTCACTAAACAAACTTTCACGTGTTACTGTACTACTTGGCATACTTCTCGAAATTTTCGAGTATTTTTGTTAAAAGAAGAGTCCAAAATCCAACTGAAATTACTATTCGTATTAGGACTCTATGATTCAAATTCGGTTAATTAGTTAGAGTTTTCAATACAATTTACATTGTCTCATATAATTGATACATAGGATCAAGGAGTTGGTCCCTCCATCTCTCCCGGGAGTGATGTGGGTTCGATCCTCACTCCACCCCTCCTTGATAGGAGGGACACCCTAGACCCCTGTATCTTATTGTGTAAAAAATAAAATATATATAGTTGATACATCATATTTTCTCGGTTCCACAAATATTGCAACAAGGATGAAATTACGCATCCCAAAGCACATTTTATATGTTAAATATTTATAATTATATAATAGTAAAAATTATAAAAAGTTGATTTTGTAAAAGTAATTTACAAGACGAATCTAACAAGATCCCACATGACTGTATTTTACTTTACGTATAAATCATAATTTGTGGTCAAACAAGCATGATGAATAGTGCAAAAGTTCAGTTGTTGCAATATTAATAGAACGAAGGAAATACAACATAGGTAAGGAACGAACAAAAAGAAATATGGGAAATTCTAAGCCGCAACTAGCTATATTCCAATAAGGACTCAACTAAGGTTAATTTTGTATATTGACAAATAAAAAATAAAAAAAATACCCTATCTGTGTACTAAAATTTAATACCAACGAGATATATAGGTAATACCATCCTTAGTAGTATCTAAATACCATCCTACGATAATTTACTTTAATTAGTATCGTTCTAGTACTGCAGTTGGTATCATATTTAACAAGTATTGTTGTTGGTATATAATGTTATATTGTTGGTATCCTAAGCCACCTATTTTGAATTCGTCGGTATCCTAGCTGTGTCGATTTGGTATCAGAGCCATATGGTTAAGCTAAGTTTATAATTTAATTAGTAATAAAGTAAAAATGGAGAATACTAAGCCTTCTACTGGCTATAAGAAACCTGATTTTAAGCATTACTATCACATTCCTGAAAATACTAGTAATTTTGGGCCAGTCCTTAAGTATATAGTAGATCAAATTGGTGAATTAAAATCAGAAGTTGATAATATATATGCTCATTGTATTAATATTGAAAACAAATATCAATAACTACAACCGATATTAATGAAAAAAAGTAAGTGAGCTAAAAGAACAAGTTAAACAAGTGCAACTTGCTTTAACAAACGAAGTTAGACATCAAGCCATTAAAGAAGTATCATCTAATAAGGAAAAAATTGTCCCTTATAAATATAAATATCCTTTTCAAAATTTAGATAAAAATAAGAAGTTTACTGTATCACTTCCTAAAAGACCCACTAGTGAGAATGAAAAGAACAAAGAAACTAAAGATGAGCCATCGTCTTCAGGAGAAAACGCTTGAAGAATTACAAATCTTATTTGATAAAGAAGAAGACCCTGATAAGCTAATTAAACGAAATCATGAAAATAATTTATGAAAAAGGGATTGCTTCTGATAGTGAAATAGAAGAAAATAAGTATGTTTCTTTAGAAGAAGATTTATATCAACAAATGGGATTAATGAAGTTTAATGATCTAGACTTTCTACCTATGGAAGTTGTTCAACAAAAAATTGATAACAAACTAGGTAAAAGAGTAATGAACAATAATGATGTTGGAGAATAAATTATCAGTGAAAATAATAATATTAACATTGTTATCCAAAGACCTAGGTATCAAGGAGAAGGGAGTTGTACACGACCAAGATATATACCAGGGAAGACTACCCGGTTTAGTGCCAAGGTTATGCCTAATCAAATACCTAAACAAGAAGAAATAACTCTTGAACCTATAAGTCAAATTGGTTATAAGCTTAAGTTAGATGGTGTAAGGGATAGACAAGATGTTTTAGATCAGTGGAAAAAGAACATGAGTAGTGTACTCAATTTAAACACTAAATAGACTTCTGAAAATTTCTTAAACTATATCGAACATAGCTTTTATGGCTGCGTAGAACACTGGCATGATGGTATAGATGAAGAGGTCAAAACTACACTTAGAGCTGATGAATCTCCTACTATAATTTTTAGACAGATATGTCAGTACATTGAGTTAGAATTCATTGGTCCTAGAGTTGATCCTAATGAAAAATGAATGGACTATCAAAGAAATTAAAGTAATTTGTCCATCTGTAATATGGAATATGTCGAGAGCTACATTATAGAGTTTGAAACATAATATTATAAAATTGGGGAAAATGAAACAAATCTTGGAATGTTTTATGATAAATTACCAAGTCCTCTTAATGAAGAAATTAGTGAAAAATACCAAGATTGGAGAGAGAAATTCTTAGCTAGGGATGCCCTAGGTAATAGAATTGCTTTTCTAAGAAAATGGATTGAAAAGAAATGTAGAGAAGTTGCTGGAACTCAACAAATGAAAAGACAATTTCTCACTTGTTGGGATTTCCCAAATAATTATGGATGTAAGAGAAAAAAAACTATAATAAGAGAAAGAACTATAAGAAAAATAAATTTGACAGATCAAGAGGAGAAACCTATAAGAAGAAGTACTATAAACATAAATATATAAAACCCAGTAGGTTTTTCAGAAACACAACATATTGTCTTGAGAAGAAGAAAACATGCAAGTGTTGGTCTTGTGGAGAATTAGGACATTATGCTAATGAATGTAAGAAAGCTAATCATAAACTAATGGAAGCCTTAGGTAGTTGGGATTATATAGAAATACCAGGAGATGAGGTTTTAGAATTGGCTTTAAGTAATAATAAAGGAATAGTAGAGATAATTGAGGATGAAAATGAAAACGATGAAGAACCTAAAGATAGTGAGTTTGAAGATGAAAATTATGAAGAAATATAATATGATGGAAGGGGAAGTATTAGAAAACTCAAAATCAGATGATGATGAGGATAAAAGTAAAATGACTATACGTCAACTAAAAAGAGCTGAGTATTCAATAGAAAATAAAGACCTAGATCAAATGAACAAAGAAAGTTGGAATTTTCCCCAGATTACTAAAGATAAAATATATAAGACTTCTTTATTTAAAACTAGAGCTAAATATGTATGTGAAGAAATGGAAGGAAGTATAGTAATCGAAGATTGTGAAAAGAAAGCAGCAGAAATTAATATTATAAACTGGAAAAGCATTAAGGACCATAAAGAAAAAGGAAATTATAGTTATATTTGTATTGGTGCAGTGCAAGTATACATAACTCCTTTACGAGATTTTGGTTAAAATGTTAAATGTTTAAGCTTTGTTTG